TGGTTCAAATGTATGCTTTAGAATCTACAAACAATGTCCATCTGATTTGAAACTACAAGCGTCACATTTAGTTAAAGTTTTTTTTTCTTCTAGAAATGTCAGTGTTATTGGCGATTAATATTCTTGAAAATGTGATCAAGTTGTAGTAATTCATTTAGGGAGACATTCAACAGTGTTGACTGTTCAGTTCTGTTTAATCGAACACAATGCTTTTGTCCTCAACAAGCAACAGCATTACCATTATGTTGTTTTGTTCATTTTTTTTTTTTTTCCACTTCATAATGGATAAGTTAGTATTGTTGTTAGACGAAGTGTAATTATTTTTAGAATGAGACAGGAACATTTTGACAGTATTTCTTAATTTTTGCCATGACTATAAGAATTGAATTTAAAGTTCATGTTATCACAAGTGTTAATATAAAAAACATTTGTGTTGCAACTGTTTTAATTGTAAATTCCTATTTCTTTAATAAAATAATTTTCACAAACCTATAATCTGAATGGTGTGATAATGTTCTAGACATTTTGTAGGCCAAGTATTTATTTACTATACTAGAAAAGGCTGCAGTGGTGAGTAGTCCAGCTTGTTAGTGCAGCTTTTATGCAAAGCTTGTATTAAAAGAATCCAAGAAAAGTACCATTTCCACGGTTTATTTATTTATTTGTTTTTTTTGCAGTTCCATGTTTTACCAGGTGATCGCGCCAAATGACCAATTTACAACCAACCAAAGTTACGTGAAGTGTAGAGTGAGACTAGAGTGAAGTAAATTCTATAATTATTGCTAAATCAATATTTATTTTTAAATGAATGAAAACTTAATTTATCACATAATCGTTTCTATTACACATACATTTAAATCAAGCGGGCTGTTACGAGAAGAGTTTGTTCAAAAGACAGATGCGCGTGAACAGCAGTTGAACGTGCGCGAGCCGAGGAAGACCTGCCAACTGACCTCTAAAGAACCGCGTACAAACGAACACATTCCCCTCAATATATTTACCTCACAAATGTATATATATATAGATATATATAGATATAGATATATACATGTATATATTTTTTAAAAAGTTTATCAACTGGCGTCGTAATGAGTGTGATACTTGGTGGGTTGTTGTTGTTTTGTTTGCTTGTTTGTTATTGTGTAGAGGTGTTGGCTAGTCAGCTAACGTTAAGCAGGTTGAGTTTGATTTTCGAGTAACTTACTGCAGCTTGCTAATTATTGTTTTGTACAGAGTCATCATTCAACATTGAAGATATTATAAAGACTCCAGAAAGCCCAGGTATGACATGACTCATTAACGAGCTAATATATTCACTATTTTTATTACATCTAAGTCAATTTTAAATAATATAAGTAAATTAAAAAACAATCCTACTAAACCGACGAGTCTGTTACTTTTCACAATTTGTCTCATTACATGGTGAGGGCCTAACCCATGAACCAGATCTTTTATCTCTGCCCACTCAATGGGATTTAATGCCTTTGTATTTCTTACAAAACAATTGGTCTTTTTATAGGTAGGCGGGCAGAACCGAAACCAGCGGAACTGTTAATCAAACTCAGGAAGCTGCAACAAGGTCATTTAGACTGTTAATCAGTCAGTCAGTCAATCAGAGTGTAAAAACATTTTATAAAGCAAAAATTAAACACCCATATATTGATTTCAGCTAAGAAAAACCTTGAAGATGAGGTTAAGGAAACTATGCTCCTCAGATGTGCTAGGAAGGAGGAGGAAGATGCATGTATGTATATACTCACATTAACCTCAAATGTATGATTCACACAGTACCAACTACCAATGAGAGTAATACGGTAAAGATTAGTGTACGTTTTTGTTGCAGTAACTGCTGAAGCCCTACAGTTGGAGGGGACCCTGAATGAAAAGGAAGGTATTCTAGTCTAAACCAAACAATGAGCCCATAAATTACATGTAAGCTTTGTTATCAGATATATTTACAGTGTTAACACACATAATCTTGTCATAAAGAGTTAAACAGATCTCTGCAGCTCAAATGTGAGGACCTCCAGCTGGAGGCACAAAGGTAAGCATAAATGGATATCCATACAACACTCATGAGTATTTAGACACTGAACTACTGCACTTCATATGGAAGCTGCTCACGTGTGAATCACAACATGAGTCACCAAAACACTGAACTTTGTTCTCAGATCAGTGAGTCTTGTAAAAGGGTGTGTATTCACTCGATACCTTACACAAATCATATTAAAATAGGATGACGTTGAGAGCAGCATTTTGTCATTTTTATTACTTAATGTTAACACAGAAATGTTTGTGAGACGTACTAGACGGCATCATTTTATTTGATTTATGATCTAACTTGTAACTCTGTAGGCAGCTTGAGCAGAACCATCAGAAAGAGGAAGCAGTAAAGCAGTACTGCCTTCAGATCCAGGAGACCAAACTAAAGCACAGAAAGACTCGGTATGACTTACTGTTTTTAACAGCGAAGGGAAATAGTTTAATAGTTGTTGTCTCTTTAGATATTAGAAATAGACATGAGATGCTGTGTCATTTCTTAGAATTGCATTCCATGTATTGCCAGAACATTTATTGAAATGCCCACATTCAAACTGAAATGCCAAAACCTACTAGTTCAGCAGCACAAGCCATTACTGATAGTATCAGGAATAACTGACAATTCTAAAATATGACAACATATTTTATTGCTAAGAGAGACTTCTTTTGAAATTCTAACGCATTTTAACTAATCTAATTTAATTTTAGGATGAGGTTTGAGAGTCAGCTTCAGCAATTAATGGAGCAGCATAAAAACCTGTCCAATGTCTTTGTAAGTGGCCTATGAGAATGGATATTAAACTAAAATCAACTGAGCTTTCTTTATTTGTAACTGTAAAATGGAAACGGCTTTGTTCATTATAGAACAATAGCATTTGATAATAGCTTTTTTTTTTTATTTTTTTTTTTTTTTTTTTCTTTCTCCAGACTCCACAAAGACTTCCAGCAGAAATACAGTCTGCGGAGTACACCACTGAGCATCTGCTGAAGGCTGGTACGTTTTATTATTCATTTTGTTCCATTGCTTAGTTTTTATGGTCCTCTCCAATACGACCAGTGTGTAGTTGCATGCTTAGTGTGACATTTGATGCGTTCTGGATTCATTACGTAGAAGTCTAATTAGTCCAGTCATTTTTCCAAAATGACTTATTTGGCCAGTCAACAAGGCAGTCACTGAATTCGGAATAGCATATTAGTATTACTACTCTGCTGAATAAAGTTATGGCAGACATATTAAGTGTAATACGCTATTCTGAATTTAGCCAATTTTAAAACATTCTAAGGCTAGAGTACTTGCAATGATGGGATTGCACAGGAATGTAACCTCATACCCAAGTGTTTATGGACCTAGAACTGAGCTCGTAACATTGGACTGACAGCCCTTAAACAAGAGACCAACATCATCCTCAGAGTAATCTGATACTTTCCTGTGTGTTTGTGTCCATCCCTACAGAACAACAGAAGCTGGAGCAGTTGACCAAGCTTCTGGACGGGTTAAGCTACACCCAGAATGCAGAGATGCACACGGACACTTGTGAAAATGCATCATGAATATCTCAAACAGATTTTGCAAACTTGAGCTGAGTATCTAATTCCTTCCAACAAATATGAATATTACAAACAAGCGGCGTATAACCTATATTCTTTTCCATTCTGTTCCATTGTTCTAATTTAACTTGTTACCAACTGTATTGTCAACAAATACTTGTGAACAAATACTGTTAATAAAATCATCCTGTGCCTAGAATATAAGTTTCTAAACCATTTATTTAGAATTTATAAAGACACAATAAAAAAAGTCTAAATTCCCCAAAATTTGCATTAATAAAAATAAAAACGTACTGATGACACTCTATCAAAGTTTAATTCCATCATACTTCTAGATCAGATATTCCTCATTAGATCAGCTTCCAGTTTCCATAAATCAGTCCGATGACACATCCAGCAGGGCACTCTGGGAAATCTTTGGTGTTCAGTAATACCGTTCTGTCTTAAATTTTGCATTGACAAAATGCAGGCTAAAGCCCAGTCCTGAGAATTTCTTTATCAACCTAATATTTTACAGTTTCTCCTGACAACACAGTTCATGCAGGAATGTATATGTGTAGTATGTCTGAAACCATTATACTGCAAGTTCTGATTGCCAATTAAATAAAATTAATTCAAACTCTACCCCTCACATCACTTTCTCAGCTTTCAATCCACTTTCTTGATAGCACATTGTTGATAGAGGAGAAAAATTAATGAACAGGCCTCCTTTCATTTTCAGACATCCCATACATACTTTCCAGTCATCTCTTGACAGTTTCAGGTTCCATAGTTTCTGTGTTCTTTGCCTTCAAAAGTACAAGCGTTGTCTACCAACCATCTCTGGTTTCCTTTATGCCTGTGATCCATTGGCACGGTCACCACCAAAGCATAATTTCAGCATTGACATGTCCTGGGGCGTTTGTGTGGTGTACTTTAAAGAGGGTGTGTTTTGGTGCCTTCAGAGTAGCATATCTCAGCTTCTGCCCAGACATGTTAATTTCCTTTGGAAGTTGGAAATTGTGTACACTTGTACATACACATCATATATAACTATAAGGTCAGGAAGAAAAAGGAAAAGCTGAGAAAATCCTCTTGAAGTTTGAACCCTCCTTTGGCCTGATTTGTGTTTCTATGTTTTGCAGGGATGGTGTATGATTACTGTTATGAGGTATGCCCTAATGCCTTATAAGGGCAAAGTGAATCATCTGTGGCCTCAGATTGGCACAGAGCAAGGAATATTCATCCTGCTGCAGCAAGAATCCTCATATTTGAGGTTGAGCTATTTTCGTGGTCTGTTTATATGAGATCCATGTACCATGTAGATTACTAGTCATTTAGTAGACACTTTTATGTGAAGCGACTTACTTGCTTCTCTTTGTCTGTTCACAGGAGTATTGGGGATGTTTGGTACAATATTTTTTGTATGGTTTCAGGTACTCTTTACAGTTCTCTGTGAGGAACATTGGCCGCCTTCATCCATATTTTGTTATCCCAGGTTATTCCCCATCTGTTGAAGTAGAGTGACAGATATGTGAGTGAAACATCCTACTATTCTCTCATCCATCAACCCACAAATTGTACAGGAGATTCTGTGATAGTCTATTTCATTTATTTCTAACATAAATGAAAACAAACAGATTGGAGGCTACAAACAAACTGATACTTAAATGTCATGGCATATAAAGAACGTAAAGTCAAATAATAAATAAACATGTAAAAGGAAAATATAATTTGTCAATAAATATACTTGGACATTAAATGCTACATTAAATGCTTTGCTCAGAATTGATATGCTTCATTTATAAGATATAAAGGTAACACATTATAATAAGGTTCATTAATTAACATTAGTTAACTATTTTAGTTAACATGAACTAAGCATGAACAATACTTCTACAGCATTTATTAATCTTAGTTAATGTTAACTTCAACATTTACTAATGCATTATTAAAATCAAAAGTTGGGCTTGTTAACATTAATGCACTGTGAATTAACTTGAACTAACAATGAACAACTGTATCTTCATTAACTAACAGATTAATAAATACTGTAATGTATTCTTCATTGTTTGTTCATGTTAGTTAATACATTAACTAACATTAACTAATGTAACCTTATTGTAAAGTGTTACCAATATAAGCAGAAATAAGATATAAGTTCACTACAAATATTGTACAAGGATCTCATGTGATTGATGTAATCAGACTTTGCTCTGCCTTCTCTACACTTCCCTGGTCCAAGCAACACTCTTCTCGGTTACGATAAAGTACCTCGAAACGACTGTAGACCTTCTTTTCTTTGCGCATACTCTCTATTCTCTTCAGCAGATTGTCCCTCTCCTGTAGATTTACTGTAGTTCGGCTGACCCCGCTCCGGTTTTGAAATTGGAAGGATGAATTGGAAACTTCTTCTTCCTTGCCCCCCCCGCCTTTCCCAGACTCTTCATTCTGCTTTCTATTCTTGTGGCTATTTGCTGAGATTTGCTCTAGGATCACCTTGGTATCATCCCTGAGGTTGCTGCTGAATATCACATTTGATGTAGAGGACTGATAGCGTGTTGGAGTCGGTTTAGCATTGGGTTTGTTGTTCTCTACTGTGGTTGAAGATGATATGGATTCAGATGGTTTCTCTTTGTCTGAGGGCTCCTCTTGCACCTCAGGGACTGTTTTCATTGACTTGTCCTCTTGAGAGCTGGAGACTCCTGAGTGCTTCTTTTCTCCCTTTGGCCCAAGGAAACCCTTTAATCTCTGTGTTTGTTTCTTGAGGAAATCAAGGGCCTTTGTATCTTTGCCATCAGAGTTCCCAAGGTTTAGGGAGCTCAGGCTTTCTTTGGACTCTGCACGGGTGATGCCCGATGAGCTGAAGCTGCGAGACTTCTTAAGCTCACTCTTTTCAGCATCTGTTGCGTCCGTAAGAATCTCCTCACCGCATGAGATACGACGATGAGAAGATTGAGAGGCTTTAAATGGTTTTAAGAACTTGGCTGAAGGGAAAGGCCGAAGTGACTTAGTTGGTTCCTTAGCGGGCTCTTTCTTTGATGCATCAGCTGTGCTCTCTGTTTTGCTGTTCATGAGCTGCCTGTCCACAGAGACTTCAGATGGTTTTGTTGCAATCACCAGGCGCTGTGGTACAGGATCTGTTAGCGTAACTGATGGCTCTTGTGTCTTTACAGTGGACAACTCTGAAGTAACAAGCACATTTGGAACTTTGTTTGCTGTATCAGAGAGGTCTGGCTTTTTCATGTCTGCTTCTCGACTTTTAGAACCCAAATCTAACTCTAATTTTGAGCTCTTTCTCTTTTCTTCCAAATTTTTGAAGTACTGAAGTCTGCTTGCTGGATCATTCATGCTTAGGGAAGAAGTTGTTTGCTGAGATCTCGAAGGCTCTGTTGGCTGTGTAATTTTGTTGTCCTCAGGTTCAGGGTTGTCAGGTTTCTCAGGTTGCTCTTTTTCTTTGATGGGCTTTTCTTTGGCGTCTCTGATCGTTGTCAGATCTCCTGTTGATGCATTTTTAACATCTTTTTCATCTGCTTTTTTATGCTTATTCCAGTCAAACGGCTCTCTTGACAACGATCTCCTCTTTTCCAGAATTTCTGCCACAATAGATGAGTATCGAATAGGCTCACTCTCATCTTTTTCCTCCTGTAACTCGCCACCAGACTTGGCTTGCGAGGAGCTGTGTTGCTCCAGCTTTGAGGAGCTGAAGATTAAAGAAGACCTTAGTCTTGAGCTCCTTTGCAGCATTGGGTTAATTCGAGATCGGAACGACTCATGCTTGGTAATGCTGATTTCCCTCGGTTCTGGCTCCTTCTCATTGTCTGTTGAAGATGCTAGTGATGAAGCTGAAATGGCTGGTTTTAATGTGTCAGTACTTGTGGGACCCAGGTCAGAGCTAATATCTCTCACTTGATTCCTATCTTGTATGATGGGTTTACCAAAGCGTGGCCGCAAGTCAAGGTTTGGCTTAGTTGGGATATTCGGACGCTCTCTTAAATGAAGGCCTGGTCCCTCTGAGCTATAAAGTCTGCTGTCAGGTTGTTGATGTGGCTCATCAAAAGCATCTGGACCCATTGGCTGATGCAGGCCCTCCTCTCCTGCATCTTCATAAGTGCTGAGATAAGAGTTGATTCTCCAGCTCCGCAATCCCTGCTTCACACTGGGGTCTTGGGACTGCCGTACCTGCTCTCCAGTGGAGAACAACTGCTTGTGGTCTGGAGGATGTGTCTGAGTCGGCGAACTCTGACAGGCATATGCATGGCCCGCAGCAGGCCTCTGGTGGGTTTGAGGACCGTATCGTCCCCCTCCTGAGATGTAATGTTTTTCTGAATCACTTTTGAGGTCGTCAGAGGATAAAACATTCAGATTTCCTGGTGCTTCAAGTTCAGGAGGATATGCAGGATCAGAGTGTTGATCTGTCTGGTACATGCCGTAGTTAAGGCGGTCATAGTGCCCACGCTCAGAATCCGGTCCCATGCCCTCACTATGATAGTATTGTTGTTCTCGCTGGTAATGCGATTCCATCTCCTCCAAGTTGTTCATTACACGCTGTTTCATGTACTGACGGGAGGAGGCGTAGGTCTCACGGGTGCCCTCGGCGTAGCTATGCCTCTTAAAGGCATTCATTTCCAGCTGCCTGGAGGCTAACATTGAGCGTCCTGGATCCAAGAATGACTGCTGCATCCTGAACTGCTGTGTTGCATATTTGGTGACCTGCATAGGACCTGCACTTGGTTCAAGTGTATGGCGGAACGGGTCATCCCTCCGAAAAGTTGGTATGGTGTCAAGACGATCCCCAAATGGGTAACCAGTAAGTTCAGGCTGGCGAGGATATCCTCTGGGATTCCTTAGTGACTGAGTCCTTTTTAAGCCAAACTGGTTGCCAAGGTAACTACTTGTACTGTCTTGTGGCATGGGTACAAGGGAATTTTCAATAACAAGAGGCTGAGACTGAGCAAACAAGATACGAAACTCTTCATCAAATGTGGCAACTAGTTCTCCAAGGAACAAATGGGCAATGCAGCGGTGGATCTTCTCAAAAGACCACATAAAGCTGGAGAAAGAGAGAAAGAAATATGTTCAGTGTCATCTGTGTCACATTCAAGTGGGCATGCATTAGAGATGAATTCTTATGTCACTGAGCTCACCTATAGTTTCCACTGATCACTGCTCTGCAGTCTGTCAGAAGAAAACGGTCCATCACTTGACCTTTAAATGATTTTCCTGTGCGGCAGAAATAGGTAATGCCTGCCACTGTCCGTACCCGCATCATCTGTAACCAGTGAAGTCACCATTAAGCCTGCGTTTTCTTAAAATTCAAATTAAAACTTGGGTTAGTTGAGGCAAATTGAACTTACATGGATCATATCCAGGTTAACTTTACAGCTTGCCACCATGTTAACAAAATGATGGGCATTTTGTTCATCCAGCAGAATGTAGACAGGCACATGACGTACTGCAGCATCCAAAAGATCGGCAAATATATCAACATCTGTGAAAATATCCATTACCACTGCAATTACCTGTTAGAAAGAAGAAATAAACATGAAAATAGCAATACGGATTGACCTCAAGCTGTGCGTCAGAGTTGACAATTAAAACTAGTTGAGTTACAATGTACTTTAATTATACACTTTTGTAAGAAAGAAAAAACAACTGAAGATTAGATGATGAACCAACTGATGCTGACTAAAAATCTGATTTTATATGACATGCAATTATGACACAAAAATTATCAGTAATTTTTGTTTATGTTGCAGTAACCAATATCACAGTGGTCTTGACTTGGACTTTGTATTATCATGACCAGCATTGATGTACAGTAGCCTCACTTACATGTTTTCATTTACTGAAGCCATTGCAGAAATGCCCTATTCCCAGCCAGCTAAGATTAATTTATTTCATGAGCAATAACAGGGGGCTTACTGACATTAAAGGGGTCCTATTATGCTTTTTCACTTTTTCAGCTTTAGTTAGTCTGTAATGTTGCTGTTTGAGCATAAAAAAGATCTGGTTGAGACCTGGTTGAGCTGCACTAGAGAAGGCAACGAGTGTTATCACTGTGTCGGAGACACGCTAGCTTTCCCAAGGCAGACGAACTTAGAGTGGTTACAATCATCCGGGTATAAATCGCTCTCAAATTGATTCGATTTTGACGCAATATTTACACTGAAGCTAGCAGGCGGGGGCATGATAGTTCCCGACCAGGCACCGAGTGGTGCCAATCACAACACACACTGGCCCAGCTAACCAATCACAGCACATTTCGTATTTCAGAAGGCGGGCCTTCATTTGATACAGGAACTATTCGAGCCGTTCATGCCAGACTGGGGAGAGAGGTGTTGTAATAATGTAAAATATTTGAAAAATAATGTATTTTTCGAACAATCTAGTATGAGAGCCTGTTCTAGTACACCCCCAAAACAAAATCAAGACTTTGTAAAAGCATAATAGGACCCCTTTAAATGAGTAGTATTTGGCTGGTCATAGTCTTAATTTCATGTAAGTGTAAATCATTTTAAACATATTTTTAGGTAAAATGTTTTTCCTGAGGAAAATGATTACTGAGTGGACCTTTCAAATTCTTGATTCCAGCCTGATGTCATTTATAAATATGAAAGCACTAACCTGATGAGCATTTTTGATGAGTTGCCGGGCCTGCTCTTTAATGCTGGGCCGCTCAGGGTCAGCAGGGTTTACCAACATTGTGACCTCTGTGGGCCCCACAAAACTATGTTGCTGCAGAGGCCAGCCAAGGTCTAGTCCTGGTGCATCCAAGTCAGAATGCAGTGGCCAGTAGGTGTCAGAAGACGCATCCTGATCTATTTCTCGATATGGCAGTTCTGGTACATTTCCAGCACTCTGTGGTGATTGCACAGTGCTTTTAATATGCTCAATCTCTGACCTTGATAAAAAGTCAACTACATTAACACTTTGTAAAAAGTTGTAATAGCCCTCAACGTCCTCCTCCACCAGGGCATCAATAGCCATGCGATACTCTTCTCTGTAATGCGGACGCAAGTAATTGGGATCCAGGGGGTTGTCGCCCAATGAAGAACTCTGTGAGCGGTGGGCCATGGTGGAGCAGGGAAAACAACCTGAGAAACAAATTTTTTCAATAAATAAGCATGTAAAATAATCTAAACAGCATATGTAAACTAAAATTTAGTTAATAATTTTTTCCCATTATTTTTATTAATAATAATTCTTCCAGAAAGTGTTTACATTTTTAGCACAAACATGATTGTTGTAAGTTTTTTTTGTTTGTTTGTTTTTGTAAGAACTAGAAAAAACAGCTTTTTAATACCATGGATACAATAACAAATATAAAATAGCACACTGTATTTTGGACAATAGTTGTTTTTGTTTTGTTTTTGTTTCCATACAAGAGGATCCAGGAAGCACAAATACTGCATGTTAAGCCAATGTTTTAAATTTGCATATTATATGTTGCATAACCCAGATGTTAAATCACCAATCAGGCAACAAGTGTATTATGAAATATTATTGTAACCCAAATAATGTACTACTGTATGCTATTATTATAGTTCGACCTGCTGAAAAACTAGCTGTTTGACTCATTGTGTACATATGAAATTCCTATCTGTTCTGTGATCTTCCAGATAATGACCCCTTAGAAAGGTTAGGCCCCACTATGAAGGTTTTAGAAGGTTGTGGGCTCTTGTGTACATTTGTTTGTATTTTAGACATCGCCATGGAAACAGTGTCAGCCTGTTGGCGAGTGATTCATTGTGGGCAAGAGGGGAAGCAAAGAGACATCAACCGAAAGGGAAAAACTCAAGAAACATGTGACTGAATCAAAGAAGGGAGTGTTTTGCTGATGTACTTGTGAAAGAGACTCACTGAGTTAACTATGCACGTTAGAATGAGACTTTGAGCAGGTCGTAAATAAACTAAGACATGTGGCTGATTCATAACATGTCAATTACATAATGTAAACTCCCATTTGTACAAGAGATTCTTAAACATTCACTAACAGACGCGTTACCGGATTATCTCTCTCTCTCTCTCGCTCTCTCTATATATATATATCAGGGGCACTTCCTCCGAGTAGGCAAGGGAGGAGTGTCTCCTCAAAATATCGGATTAGAAAAAAAATCATAGTACAAAAATAAAACAAAGCCGGTATTACAAAATATAAGATTACAAAGTGTATAAATCACTCGTTTTCTAAAGAAACATTGTCCAACAGCGACACCACCAGGTAAAGTTACAGCAGGAGTCCACGTCTCTCTCACCTCCCCTGAGCCCATTGACTTTTAACAGACCTCCTAAAGCTGCAGTGGGTTTGGTGGGGGGTAATTGAGAATGAATGGGGGAAAATCACGTGAGAGGAGGCAATGCCTCCTATGACTGGTTATGTTCGGCTGTGACTGGTTCATGCTAGAGGCCTGCGCGCCCCGGGGAGGTTATAATCCGCACCCACCCGCTCCCGCGATACATTCACTCTTTGTTCACCCGCTGTCTGCTTAGAATAATTTTCTTCCCGACCGTTACCGCTAAATTTAGATTTCGTTTCCAGAATCTCACATTTAAATTTCCACTACTGAACGAGAGAGATAGGCTAACAAATATAAGTGTAGTCTGCACAAAATTGTATTTGTTATTTTATTCGTCTTGTCAAAGACACAAAGTTCGTTTAACATCTTGCTGTCAACACAGTAGGAAAAAAGTGCCGCAGAGAAAATAAAAATGTAGGTTTTACAAAAATTGCATTTCTTATTTTTATTAATCTTGTCAAAATACAAAATTAATTTAACATTTTGCTGTTAACACAGTAAGAAAAGAGTCGCAGAGAAAAATAAATAAATAAATAAATACGACATCTGTCATTTAAAATTGTAGGCTAAGCAAAATATGAACAAAACCGAGTTGAACGTCCTTCAAGGACAGCGCATCCACACTTTGCTCTGCCATCCTTATTTTGCTCTGTCACTCATTGACAACATGCCTGTTCTGTCTGATGGCCGTATATTTACCACCGGTTAGCCTGCTCTGAGGACCGTTATGCACATGCTGCACACACAGACCCGCAAAAAAATACATGATGCGAAAGCACTGGTCCGTGCGTGCAGCGGGTGCATAACAGTCCTGAGCGCAGGCTGTACCGGTGGTCGATAAGAGTGAGTAGGCTAAAGCGCAGATAAAGGACGTCGGGAAAGGAATATTGTTAGACCGCTCGCTCCCGTTCAAATTACACCAGAGTTACCGACCGCTACCGCGTTTTATTCTGAAATTTAATCCCGCCTCGCAAGAAATCTGGTCGGGTCCCGCGGGAATGCAGACCTCTAGTTCATGCGATAAATTCCGTCTCTTGTGTTTATGTGCGAATCAGTCTGAATGAACAATATAATGGTGTTAATGGGAAGACTAATTTAAGAAAGTAAACAACTCATACATTTAAATATAACCACTTTAAGTCAAACTCTTAACTTTTATAAAGAATATCTCTTTGGATTTGAGACTTTAGTCTTTGCAACTTTACAGATCTTCTTGCTTGTAACACTCCAAAGAGAAAGGAAAAATTGAAATCGCATCATATGACCCCTTTAAAATGGCCTGAAAACATGATCTGTGTGAGTTTTTAGTGAGAAATTAGCTTGCTGAAATTTAAAGTAAATATCTTTGTCTGTGACCAATATTTACTGAGCTTTGATGACTGATGAACCGAATAATTCAAAAATAGTTAAAAGTTAACTATTAAAAAGAATAGCTGAACATAAGTTCACAAATAAAATATATTGTTTAAATTACTGCCTTGAGTTATTATTTTGGAATAAATGTAAAATAAAAACTCTATTAAAAAGAATAGCTGAACATAAGTTCACAAATAAAATATATTCTTTAAACTACTGCCTTGAGTTATTATTTTGGAATAAATGTAAAATGCTTAAAAACTCTAACTTGATGAGATTCATACTTGGCTTTAATAAACAGATTATTGATTACATTGTTAATGTAAAAATATATATTTTTTAAATTATTTTTCTGGTAGTGTAAGTGTTTATTGTAATGTTTATTTAACAAAAAAAATGGGACTGGGACTTGAATTTACATTTGATTAAAAAAAAAAAAAAAACCTTTGCCTCCATTTCAGAATACCACCGCACACCACTGATTGATAGATAGATAGATAGATAGATATACAATCCGATAACATTTCTGTTAGCGAATGTTTAAGAATATTTGCATCTACTCGTAACTAGTCTTGATTATGATCAGTTTTTTTCATCTAATCTGAAACCTGCGCTGTCAGCATGTTTTCTTGTGAGAGTTGACACCCAGACCAGTAAATCATGTTGGAGTGGATTCAACAAAGAATACCAGACAATGCACTGCTTCACTGTTAATGTCTGTTTATTAAGACCGAACTTTATTTAAGCCTTTAATCTTTATCAAAAACTATTACTACAATTACTGACTGATAATAATAATTCAAGCTTATTTGTATTGGTCTCGCAAATGGATGGAAAAATGTGAAAAAAAACTAAGAGACATGTTATGAAATTACATTAAGCCAGAGTGGAGAAACTTTATACCTGCAGGTCTACACTGCAAGTGCCAATAGTTATATAAATCAGTTTTACTTTTTGAGAAGATATGTATTTATACACATGTCTGCACAGACATTGCTCATGTACATACATTCTTTTTAAATTGAAGAACAAGAACATAACTAGAAAAGACCTAGGCAGAAAATGCTTTACATTCCTGGGATAACCTTAACAACAGGCAGTGAGACTGACATAAAATAGGCACTGTTTCAGTAGCTTACTTTTTGCAATAGTCTTAATTAATTTCAGCAAACAGAAAGAGTTTTTTGCATAACCAAATTTTTTTTTTTAAATGAACCCTTGACTCTTTTATGAATATTTGGCTAAGTGTGAAATTGTATTATATTTACAGCTGCAACAAATTGTATGTTATATTCATAGGCAGAATGAAGGACAATTCAGAAATACTGAATTTATATAAACATCTATATTTGAACACTGACTTTATTTTTTTATGTCATGTTGGGTATTTTGCTGACATTAGTTTTTTAATTTATTTATTGGCATCGCCCGATGTTGTATAGGCCTATTTAACTTAGCATACTCATTTCCTCCATTTTTACATTTAGATTAATTTTGCCATCACCTAATCCTCACTTGCATTCATATTTTGGAAATACTAAACATTTAATAACACTGTTAAATGTACTCTTTGCCAATCTCAATGTATCTATTTTCCATATTGTATATAATAATGTTGTTATACCTAAATTCAATTCAACTTTAGCTATTAAAATGACTGACAAAATAGAGTAGAATTTAAAAAAAAAAAATTCAGTTATTGGCCATAATATGGAAATAATTATAGGTTTATTGGTATCAGCCATAATATTGGTGCTTTCTTAATCCTGACATGCTGTACATAATCACTCTGCAACATCAAATTTTTCTCAATTCATATCCAACACTAATGTGACACTGAATATTCTGTGAAGGGTCCAACGTTTGTCGATATAAAGACCACCAACAGGTTTTAGATATTTTTATCTTGGGCCTACATGGTAATCATGCTAGATTTACTCCAATTTCTGCCACTGATCAATTACTAACAACACCCTCTCTGCAATCCCAAAAAAGAACTTTGTGTTTCAACAAGTGCAAAATTAAAGTGTCTTATCACTCACACTCAACCATATGTAGGAAATTATGAAATATGACAGAACGCACATGTCTGTTCATGGTGTGTTTTACCTGGGCCTCAGCCACAAAAAGAATCAGTGCAGGTACATGGATTTACACGGATTGATAATTTAATAATTAGAGTTGTGCAATGTTTTAAGACCATGGTGGCACTGTAAGAAGACATCCTGAACCAATCCCTAACCAAAGTCCTAATTGATAACAAAGGAACAATTCTGTGCACCCAAGACACTGGACCATCACATTTCAAAGATCATAGTAGGCTTATACTCTAATAAAATACTTATAATACTTATAGCTTTAAGAACGTTTATTTTAAAAACTGCCATCATTTTCACACAGCTGTCAAAACTAAACTCCATCATCTACAAAACGACTGTTCAAACAAGTTATATAATTCTCAGTTGTTTTAATGTTTACTTCAAAAGTCTTTTAAATTGGCTGCTATAGTATGTAGAGTCCGAATCTCTATCAGATTAAAGTGCAAGCAACGTTTAAGAATAAAAATAGCTTTCAGCTCTCTCGTAGAGAGTTTCTACAAGTTTCTGCACTGTCAACGTTCATCTGCTCGTTCACACTTTGTGACTGGTCTTTTTGAAAGTTGAGACTCCTGCGCTCGTTCTTACCTTTACGTTTGTTGTTACTTGCAGTCGCCGGTAAAGAAACTTTTTTTCCGTTCCGAAAAAGTCGGTTATTTTCACCCCCTGTTCAGCGAACGCATCCGCGGTACATTCCTGGTGTCGGCGAAACCCCACCCAAAGCTATTCAGCTTAAAGGCGAAAACCAGCCCTGGCGAAACCTGTTCGCGTTCGGCCGAGTCCTGCCCGCCCGAACGTCTCAGCCCCGCAAAGATAACAGCACTCGGTTCGTGATGAACGTCGAACGACTCAACCCTTTGAATTTCACTTGTGAAACTCCTCCCAACCATCGCCGGCGTCACCGCTCACCTACAGGAGACAATTGCTACAAAAACTGACAACGATAAAGCCGAATACACTGCAGAGAAAGAAGAAGGCTTTTACAGCAGGGCATAACCGGCAAATCATGTACAAATTTGCTCCGTGGAGTTCCACGAACGCACTCCATATCCCAGCTCACCCTTCTCCTTCCTCTTTCCACAGCGAGCAGACAGACAGATGGTGGATTGTTAGGACAAAGGCGCACCCAGGTCATGATCACACTGTTGAGTTTTTTGTATGTACAGATGGTATAGAAGATAAATTATTCATTAATAGTTAGTGTTTTAAAACTCTCTATTTCTATAGAATAACGTGTCTCTAAAGACCACATCAAAACAAGTGTTTGTGCACATATGTGTAAACGACAACTTTACCAACTAGAGCCATCTTAAAATCATATTAAAAGTTATTCATATTATGTTTTGGCACTCAACCTTCCTCAGTGAATTATTCAAAATAATATCAAAAAATAAAAAATTAAACTTATGTAGCCTATATATTAAAGAAATCACCTTTTCAGAGCGTAAAGGTCACCCATTTGAAAGGGCCCACATATCAACATTTCAAAATAAACAGACTTCAGGTTAATATATGTTAGTTGCAAATTAATTTTTAAGTGAGATCAAAGTACAATTTGTTATGCAAGCTCTGTGTTGTCAAGACATCCCAAGAGCAATACACTACATATTTTATGAGGCTGTAATGATTATTGGTTACTTTATTGCAATTTGTAAAAGTAAGAGCACAATACACATGCATGCAGGCATGTGAAGTAAACACAGTAGTGAACACACACACCCGGAGCAGTGGGCAGCCATGTGCTGCGGCGCCCGGGGAGCAGTTGGGGGTTCGATGCCTTGCTCAAGGTTCTCACCTCAGTCGTGGTATTGAAGGTTACGTTTCATCAGTCAGAACGTTTCTGCTTTTTATTCAGCTCAGCTACAGCAGATATTGGTTTGCCTACAGCGATAGCTGGATGCTTTTGTCCATATTAGGGCTTTCCTGGCATGCCATAAGTTCTTACTTCTATGAGGCCGTTTTGGACTTCCTGTGGGAGAGCGTCCTCTGGCTTCCGAGTATGAATGTGAGTGTTCAGCGCTTCATGATGTTCACATCGTCTCATTCTGGATACAAATAAAACGTCAGGTCATGCATAGACTATCCTGTCTCTTCATTTAAATCTAGATTTATTTACACTGACCCGTGAAACTCTCTACGTGAACACACCTGCCCGAATAAAGTGCGGGGGATGAATTTACATTTTATTAAAATTAAATATTTAATAAATATTAAAAATGCAACTAACGTAGTTCTACACTCAGCAATATAAACAAAGGTGCCAGTTCTCTTTTGTTCTTGCTTTTTGATTGAGAACATTTTAAACGGGTATCGAGGGGTCTTGTCTTTTTTATGTTATCTGACTAAAAACTATTCATACTTTGATCTATTATTATTACAGTATCTATTTAAAAAAAATGTAGAGTGCCTTTAAAATAATGATCACAACACTGGTAAAAAAAGGCGTATACTGATTTTCTCATCCTCCGAATCATACTTATCAGTCCTTTTTTTTATTATCATTATCATTCAAAAAATGAATAAATTCAGAACAGGATTAGAATAGAATTCTATTTTAAATATGACAGAAATATTTTTTTCTACAACAGCAACAGTAGTGTTTACAAAAGCAAAACCACCATACCCTGTAAACTCAACAATAATAATATAATATAACAACAATAATAATAATATCAATAATACAATTCAGTTTCTAATTCCAAAGTTATTAAGTGGTGCAAAGAAAAAACTCTTAACCTTAAAATGGTCTTTTCTATTCTGTGCTTTTTTTTAAAAACTGCGTCACGCATTTGCTGCTGTATCAATACAGAAGCATCCCTATCGATACGCGTATCAGCAAAGAATGTTGTCACAGTATTGTGTGTTCCATGTGCCCCTTTTATACTTTGAGCACCTGCCCCTCCAAAGGTCTCTGCACGGCGCTGCATGCATGGTTCAGGGGTGGAGTAAGTCAGAGGATTTTGCCCCACCCTAGAAAGGAAAAGACTTAAACACATCCTCATTTTGCCAGACTTTCACCTTTATCAGTGTGGGGAAGTTTTCTCTGAATTCTGTGAAGATTTTTTGATGTTTATTTGTGTGAGAACAGTTTCATGTCCCCTTCTTCAGTTTATGATTGTGAGATTGATTCTGAATGTTGTAAGCATGTCTGTATTTGACTGAACTTAGCAACTCAGGTAAGGGAGGGTGTGAGAAAGGGTGCGGCCCCCCGAAGAATGTGCCAACGCAACTGAGAGACATACACCACGCCTAGGACACGTTCATTCCTCATACACACATACACACCACCAGCATACTTGTCTTTTTTTCTTCTGTGTACATAACCTTCCCTACATTCACTTGAGGTCACACAAATCACATAACAAAAAAAACATTACTTGTACCACAAATATGGCGTATGCAAATTTCCAACACTCTCACACTCAACATTCAGCTATATCAAAACACTTTATTCACTTTCAGTTTTCCAGTTTCACTTGACTGTGATAGGTGTGATATGTTTCCAGCAGTGTAAATTTTGTCCCATAAAAAATTTTATGTATTTATTTTTTATAATTTAACCCTCATGTTATCTTCCAGTCATTTTGACCTGGAGAGGATTTCCTTTTCCTTCAAAGTGCTAGTTTATGTTATCAAATTAGATTAAAACTTACAGTACAGACTTTGTTCACACAATGTATCACACAGCTTACCCAAAAAATAAAAATGTTTGTACTTTTTTGAGTCTTTTTCCCACCTTGTTACACTTGTGGTGTTCCTGGTCAAAAATACTCGGTCTACAATATATTGCTTGTAAATTTCTCATTATGCTATATTACCAAATATATACTACCAAATATCAGATTCAATCTTTTTATCAATTTGTTTTCTGTCATTTAGCGCAAGTTTTTTTTATATCTTTTTGGAACTGATTGATCGTAGGCACTGATCTATATATATGACTATATATATATATATATAAAAAATAATATATATATATACTGTATATATATATATATATTATAGATCAGTGATCGTAGGCCTGATCTGAGATTATCAACAATTTTTGTGAACATTGCGAAAATTATCCACAAATGATGCTTTTTTTGTCCATTCAAAAACTGCTGGGGTGCATGAGGTCAGATCAATAAGGCATACGACCAATCAGTTCCAAAAAGAAATACAAAACCTGTGGTAATTGAAAGAAAACAGTTGACAAAAAGATTGAATCCAAGATTTTGTGAAAATATAATAGTATAATGAGAGGCCTGACATTTTTGACCAAAATTAGGTAAAGGTTTTTCAGCACAGCACAAGAGTTACAAAACCTAAAAATCTAAAATAAGACATTCCGCATGATTGTGGCTCTAAAGCTGAAGGGCCTTTTACTATTACGACAAACAAAGGTCCACCTCTCAGCCAAAGGATTTTATTAGGAGTAGCCAAGCTAGAATATGTTGAAAGACTGTTTGACATCATTTTTCTACAAACTCTATCTTGTTTTATTGCCTAAACAAGTTTTAGCATGCCAGCATGATCTACATCCATCCATTTGCTGAAGAGTGATCTTTAAAACAGTGCTCTGTTTTTCGAAACAAGATGTCCTTTTGCTGTCTGGCAGTCCCTCCCACAATTCCCCTCTCTTGCTGTAATATCACACCTGTGTATCATGTGACACAAGGCAGCTCTCTGTTGCACTTAAACACACACAGATGCTCATAAAAAAAACTTTCATTATTCAAAGTAGTTATGCATATAGTCTAAACTGAAGCTTTCACTATATTTTACTCACATGTGCATTTGTAATCACCACCACGTTTCATTTTTTTTGTACATAATTTGTCAGTCGCGTGTATCACATCACATTACAGTCATTTATATGAATAAATGTTCAATGTGTCCATTTGATATATTTGTCTTGTTCATGTTTTTAATTATTGTTTGAGTGTGTGGCACATTGTTGTTACATTACTGATAAGCTCAGGTGGTGTGTGATGTGAGGGTGAAACCCGTAAAATAGCATATTTTCACATTAAATGTCAAGTCCCTGAAGCTACAGAGCTGCTTACAGTTGAATGTCTCAGTTCCTCCAGTAATGATGTACACCTCCGGCTGTGTCGTGTTGAATAGTACTTTATTACCTCATCCACCAGTCCGTGTCCACCACCCAACCCAAGCACAAAGACAAACAAATCAGCCAAACCAGTCTGCTATCTTGAAAAGCTGTATGTGCCTAAATTCCATACATGATTCAGAAATGGTTGGACACCAAATTTAAGAGCATTAATGGTTATTATTACTGGACACTTGCATGTTTCTGTTACGGGGCTGACGAGACGTGAGACGTGCAGATCCAATTGCAAGCTATTTATTAGGAGAAGACAGAGACGTGGTCATAAAACAGGCATGGGTCAGATAATGGCAGACAGGTATATGGCGGGCAAGACACAAGAAGAAAACTAAGGCGTGGATGATGGGATATGTAGTCCGGGGTGATATGCAACAGTGTGTAGTGCGAGAGTCAATGAAATGGGAAGGGTGACCTCTGATGGCTAGCAGACGGAAGTTCATGGACCGGATACGTGACAGTTTCAGTATGAGATAATTAAGACTCATGTAAAATTATTTACTATAAGTCTCCAAGTTAACCATGTGTGGTGTCCCTGCTATATACATGTGATATGGTTTCACTATATCAGCCCAATGTGCTTAAATATTTGGTTATATAAGCAGTAAATATATTTGAGTGACTTAAAGGGGTCCTATTATGCTATTTTACAAAGTCTTGATTTTGTGAAGTGGACTTTGAGCTTTGTAACTTTGCAGATCTTTTTTATGCTCAAACAGCAACATTACAGACTAACTTAAGTTGAAAAAGTGAAAAAGCATAATAGGACCCCTTTAAGAATGGAACTATTTCATGTCAGTCTAGCCAGTAGACTGTTTCTGCAGTTCATTGCCGTCAGGCTTTCAAGAGCAGCAGCTTTCAGCACACTATAGCTAAAGAGTTTGTGGGAAGACTCTGA